GTTACAAAAAAGGAAGCAGAAAAGAAACTAAAATATAAGGATTTAGCCATCGAGTGTTCACGGATGTGGGGTATGAAAACGGAAATAGTTCCGGTTATAATTGGTGCTCTAGGAACAATTCCCTACAGTCTGAAGAAAAATATAGAAATGATTCCAGGGGACCAGTGGATTGGGAGAATTCAGGAGATAGCATTATACGGAACAGGAGCCATATTAAGAAGAGTATTATAACCCTAAGGAAGCAGGAAGCTACCCGGGATGTAAGACGAGACTAACTTAACTAACTTAATATTAATATTAATATTAATATTAATAATAATAATAAAATACGGAAATATACAAACACAACCATTACTATTTAGGTACTTTAAAGATATTAACGAAATTGTTCAAAAAGCTCACCCTTGTTTTTAATACACACGATACAATACATCTTTTCGAAAGAGAATTTGAGGCTTTTCTCACAGAACTCGTACCAATATTTTCAAAAGCTTCCTGAAAGAATATACCACTCAATAATATGGGACGCTTTTCCTCGTTTGAAAAATTCATTGTCTTTGGCATATGAAACGACTTTTAAGAAAAAAAAGTAATTGTCAAATAATACTACAGTAACTAAAAGCGTTGTCACCGAGCAATTGAAAAGTTAAAAACGGCTGCAGTTCTCCCATTTTTCAAAATAACAATATCGAATATTATATCTTTGGAAAGCATAAAAAAGATAATTTTGTATAGCTCACTATGGTTTACATTTAAAATACTTGAAGTTTATGTTATAACTTGACAACGAAAACGAAACTGTTCACGAACAATTTGATGACACTATGTTATTAACGGTACAAAAACCTGAAACTTTGTCATTTAATTTTTTTGTAAAATAAATAGCAACGGTGCTACACGCATCTGAAAGAATTGTCCGAATTTGAAGTTTTCAAATATCTAGTCAGCCATGACGTTTTTTCAAAAAATAAAAGTAACATTTAATAAGGATCATAAAACTACACATCTTTCCTCATTTAAGCTTTTTTATATCTCTGCTACTTTGCAAGATCCCTATAAACATCGAAAAAAGAAACTCGCACTGTATACAGGGTCTTCCAGATTTTAATAGACAAACTTCGGGAAAGTACTAAACAACAAAAATTAACATCACTTTGCTCTATGAACATAGGGGCAGAAAGCCACCGTTTATGAGATACAGGGCGTTGAAATTATCAAAAATAAAATAATTTTTTTAAATATCTGGAAAACCGCTTCATCAAATTTATCCAAGTTTGGTACACATTTTTTTTTTAATATTTCTCCTAGTTCTGTATATACACAGTCCAAATCCAAAAACCAGTGGCGGAGAAACAAGGACGTTGTTTCCTTATTTAGAGTAAAACTTCTACGCCACTGAATTAATTGGTAATATGAATACATTTTATAATAGTCGGAAGCATTCCGGATGAAAAAACATTTTTTTATTTTTGTCGAAAAGTGAATGGTTTACGAGTTATGAGACATATTATCCAAGTAAATAAAGCGTTGAAATAGGGAAAAATAAAACGAATTTGGGTGGTCCAGATTTTTAATAGACAAACTTCGAGAAAATACTAAACAACAAAAATTAACATCACTTTGCTATATGAACATAGGCACAGAAAGCCACTATTTGTGAGATACAGGACGTTGAAATTAACAAAAATAAAACAATTTTTTTAAATATCTGGGAAATCGCTTCATCAAATTTATTCAAATTTGGTACAAACTTTTTTTCAAATATTTGTCCTAGTTCTGTTTGCACACAGTCCAAATTCAAAAACCAGTGGCGGAGAAACAATGGTATCGTTTCCTTATTTAAAGTAAAACTTTTATGCTACTGAATTAATTGGTAATATGAATACATTTTACAACGGTCTGACACATTCCGGATGAAAAATCACTCTCTTATTTTTGTCGATAAGTGAATGGTATAAAAGTTATGAGACATATTATGATGCGGTTGTCCAGATATTTAAAAAAATTAGTTAATTTTTCTATGTTCATAGAGCAAAGTGATGTTAATTTTTGTTGTTTACTAGTTTCCCGAAGTTTGTCTATTAAAATCCAGACCACCCTTTATACACGGTGTCCCAGAATAACGTGTACAACGGAAGACCACAGATTCGTGGACTCAAAATAGGCAGATTTAGTCTAATTCACCTATATCTGAAATCGCTTCGTTTCGCCGCTAGATGGCCTTAAGGTTCGTGAAAATTTTTTGAATTTTGTAAATAACTCGAATATGTATTAATCGATTTTGATTATTTTTGGGATGTGGACTTTTGCCGTCAATCTACAGCAAAATTTTGATGTTATACAGTGTTTTTTTGAACTTACAACTCCTACAAAATTGATTTATGGTGATAGTATCCGTTCATAACTTTTTCCTCTTTCGGGCAATAATGACAATTATCTGATAGGTGATACTATTTGGAAGTTTTTGGGCCCCTTGTAGAATTTTGATTAAATGAGCGGTTTGGGTACAAAAAAATATTTTTTAAATGTCTACATTATCGTGCCACCCATATTACAGTACTTAACAAAGTTAGCGTAGGCACTGATTTTATAGGTTGGCTGTAATTTCAGTCTGATTTTTAAATCATTGTGCCTGACAATTCTTAATGAGTGTTTACGACGATAAGATATAGCACTTGTTACTTTTCGATATGGATAACACACATACGACAAATTAGAATTAATGTGCCTAATTTTATTCAAATAATTAGAAAGAACAATCAAATACAACGCATTGATAGCATTATTATTGTCCTTGTTATTCTATCCAATAGACTGAATGGGGAATTTTATTTAGAATTTTTGCAAAACACTTTACCCGAGTTATTGGAAGGTATGCCGTTATCACTAAGAGCTAACGTGTGGTTTATGCATGATGGAACTCCACCACATGTTACTGTAAATGTCTGGCAGTATCTGAACCAAAGATTCCCTCGTCGATGAATCGGTAGAAGGGATAATGCTCCTGTTAACTGGTCTGTACGTTCACCAGACTTAATACCTTGCGACTATTATCTTTGGGCACTCTGAATACAACAGTGTATGCTTCCACATTTAACACTGAAGAAGAGTTGTGGAGGCATATCCCAATTGTCATAAATGTTTTAATAAATTGGCTTCAGGAATTGCAAAGGGTGTCCTTTAGCTTTTTTCACTGATTTAGCTTTGTTGTAGAATCATGTCGTTGGTGATCACTTTGAACAGTTTTATAGTTGTACTAAATTTAATAACATCAACTTTGTTACTTTTATCTCTAGCATTTTTTATTGTATTTGATTGTTTTTACTAATTATCTCAATAAAATTAATTAACTCTAATTTGTCGTATGTGTGTGTATCCATATGAAGAATGGAAGAATATGAAGAATGAAGTAACATGTGGTATATCTTATCGTACGTAAGTATTCATTAAGAATTGGCAGGTATAATAACTTAAAGATTAAACTGCTGTCAACCTACAAAATCAGTGCCTACTAGCACTTTGTTAAGTATTGTAGTATGGGTGGAAAGATAATGTAGACATTTAAAAAATATTTTTTGTACCTAAACCGCTCATTTAATCAAAATTCTACAAGAGGCCCAAAAACTTCCAAAGGGTGTCACCTATTAGATAAAAAATAATTGTCATTATTGCGCGAAAGAGGAAAAAGTTATGAACGGATATTATCACCATACATCAATTCTGTAGGAGTTTAAGTTTTAAGGCCATCTAGCGGTCTAACGAAGCGATTTCGGATATAGGTCAATTAGCCTAAATCTGCCTATTTTGAGTCCACAAATCTGTGGTCTTCCGTTGTACACGTTATTCTGGAACACCCTGTATATGGGGTGATCCATTAACGGTACGGTTAATTGTTGTTGTGGCTGTTACAAATTCGTTTCTCACTACAGGGATCTCGGGAACGGTAAGAGCTACGAAGTAGCTTAAATGGGGGCAAAGTTGCGTAATCAGGGGACCAACAATATGCCTCTAAAAAATCAAGGCTAACACGATTAGTTTTCGAAATATTAAAAAAAACGTAAATTTTGGAAATCCGTTTTTGTTTAATTTCAGCCTTGTTTGAGGAGATATTGAAAAACGAAGAACACTTTCTCATGGTCACTTTTTGCCCTCTATAGAATGGAATAATCAGTTTTTATATGTAACGTTTCGTCTCTCCAGGACCATCATCAACTTAATTTTTTTAAATACGACCCTGGAAATTGTATTACATTTTTTGCAAGCCTTCATGACCCCCAATACTATACTGCCTCAGCCGTAACCAGATTCAGACGTTTTGTCTCGAAAAATTCGTCTTCAGTGTATTCGTTCCAAATTTATCTAAATTTTTTATTTAGATATCTTTGTTTATTGAATTATCGTACACTGTAAGTGTCGCTAGACCCTGTAAAATCCATCAAACTACATATTACCACCACGCATTAAAATGAAACATTATTAGAGTTAACATTCATAATACCTAATTTTATGCAGGAAACTTCGAGGACAGATAGATTTCTTTAAAATAATATGTGTTTGTCTTATAAACATAGGTCTGGAACGACACCATTTTAAAGATACAGGGTGTTGAAGTTGTTAAAAAAATAGATTTTTTGTTTATATCTCCGGAATATATTAACCGATCTCAATAAAATTTGGTACAAATACTCTATGATAGTAGGCCTGACATTCCCTAAAATATGAGCACTAAAGGTACAACCAGTGGTGTACAAATGGGTAGGGGTCATCTTTTTTTTATAAAAAAACCTACGCCACTACATTTTTTACAAGTTATTGTAACGGATTTATATTCTATTGCACAAAATACGTAAAAAAAGGTACCTTGAATATTTTCCCTAAAATTCGTCGTTTTCAAGTTATTCATACCAATACAATCCCATTATGTAGATACTTCTAACCATAATATTACAAGAAGACTGAATTAATTTAAATTTTTTTATTGAACTAATCGGTACAAATCTTTAGTAGTCCTCGAAATAGCACCCGTGTGCTCCGACACAACCCGTATAACGCGATTCCCACTGCGCGTACGCCTTCTGGAACTCGCTTTCTGGAATCCCCTTTAGAGATGCCGTCAGGGCCCCTTGGATGTCTTCTACGGAGCTGTATCGGTTTCCCTTGAGGTCCCCCTTGAGCAGAGGAAAGAGGAAGAAGTCCGGCGGTGCCAGATCTGGACTGTAGGGGGGTGGGGCAACGTGGCAACCCTGTGCTTGGCCAGAAACTCTCTCACCAGCAGCGCGGTGTGACACGGCGCCTTGTCGTGGTGAAGCTTCCAAGAATTGGCGATGTCTGGTCGCACGCGGAGAACGTGTTTGCGCAACCTGTCAAGCACGTCCACGTAAATTCTGGCATTCACAGTTTGTCCAGGGGGTACAAACTCCCTGTGAACCACACCACGACGGTCAAAAAAGCAGATGAGCATGGATTTGACCCTTGACTTGCTCATTCTGACTTTCTTCGGACGCGGAGACTTGTTGGTGTGCCACTCGGCGCTCTGGCGTTTGGTCTCCGGGTCGTACTCGAAACACCACGTTTCGTCACCGGTAATCACATTGTCAAGGAAATTTAGGTTTTCTTGGACACAGTTCCGAATTTCCTGGGAATTTCCAGGACTCTTGGCACAAACCTTTCGCATGGCCAAATCTTCGGTAATAATTTTTTGAACGCTACCGTACGAAATCCCTAACTCATCAACAATCAGACGAATGTTTGTGCGCCAGTCAGAATAGAGGAGGGCCTTCACTTTAGCCACATTTTCATCAATCCTTGAAGTTGATGGGCGATTGGCGCGCTGGTCGTCTTCGACGAGCTCCCGCCCCTCCCGGAACAGCTTATGCCACTCGAACACTGTTGAGCGACTCATGGTAGCATCCCCGTAGGCGTCCTTAATCATTCCTCTCCGTCGCGGTTGTCCCGAGTTTGACGCAAAACTTAATGGCGTAGCGCTGCTCAAGATTTTTCTCCATCTTGGATCGCGACGACACTTCTTAACAGAGGTTCACGGAAACCGACGTGCTTACTCTCCGCTTCCCCACAGGCGACTGGAAAAAATATCGATCTCTTCGGAAGGCTCCCCACTACCACGCCCAGCTGGTCCGACCACACTCCATCGCTCCGTTCGCGCTACAGAAATTCAGTCCTACTACTTTTTGACCCTACCAGGTATGTTTATGCTTAGAAGGAAGTGGAATTTGTAAGCACATCAACAAAATTCTTTACACTCGTTTCCACACCACCTGTGAGGTAGAGTTCCTTACGCGTTTTAGTTTGCCCTGGAAGCTTAACCCACAATCTTTACAAATAAGAACAACTTAAATCAAAATAATAATAAATATACATTACCAAAGGCGAGGGGTAGTGAATTTTCACAATCTGCATATTTGCTCACAAGAAAATCCTCATGAAATTCGGACAAGATCTTTTCAACACGAATTTTCTGTAAACGTGTGGCTCGAAATAGTTCGAAATAAATTTGTGAACCTTTCTTCTTGCCACCCCGTCTAAATTCCGAGTCACTTTTTTAAACTTTCTAGAAAAACATCTATTTAAATTATTAGAGGATGTTTCATTAAATATACGACAAAATAGCTGGATACAATAGATAGTGCTCCTGCGCATTCTGGAAGAATAATATAAGAATGGCTTAATGAAAATTATATGGGGCGATGGATAGGTAGAAGACCAAATGCCAATGTGCAGAGAATCCAGTGTCTTGGCCAGCCAAATTGCCATATACTTACTTTTAAGCATAAACATATTCTTGTAATATTATTGTTAGAAATGTCTGCACAAGGGGATTGTATTGGTATGAGTAACCTAAAAACGACGAATCTTAGGGAAAATATTCGTTACCTTTTTTACGTATTTTGTGCATTAGAATATAAATCCGTTACAATAACTTATAAAAAATGCAGTGGCGTAGGTTTTTTTTATAAAAAAGGAGATGACCCCTACCCAGTTGTACACCACTGATTGTACCTTTAGAGTTCATATTTTAGGAAATGCAAAGCCTACTATCATAGATTATCTGTACCAAATGTTATTGAGATCAGTTAATAAATTCCGGAGATATAAACAAAAAATAATTTTTTTAACAACTTCAACGCCCTGTATCTCTAAAACGAGGCCGTTCCAGACCTATGTTTATAAGGCAAACACATATTATTTTAAAGAGATTTATCTGCCCTCGAAGTTTACTGCATAAAATTCTGATCAGCCTGTATACATATATACAGGGAGTCCCACGGTGACGAGACATTAGATATATTTCAGAGACTACTTCGATTTTAATTTTGAAAATTTGGGCAATAGTGTTTTCGGGCACGCCCTTCTCAAATAAAATAATGGCGTCCACCTAACGCTTCTGGTTATACCGGAAGTTGACGTCATCTTTGTTATTTTAAATGGAAAATCCTGTATATAACTGCAATTTTGGATTCTACGTCAATTTTTAGGTGAATTTTTATAAATGTTTCCTATTCTTAAAGTCAACACTTTTTGATATATTTAATCTTTTTCATAAAAAATGAAAAAAACACTGTCTAATTCAAAAAGATATGTATTTTCCAATAATAAAGTTAGAGCGATAAAATTTATAGGGACATAACTAAAACTCTAAGCTTCCCTGCCGTAATTTCAAAATGACTTAATTTCATACAGGGTGGTAGAAATTTAATTCCGAATTTAGTCAACTTTAAACCATCTTAACTTATTTTTTTTTTAATGGAATACCCTGTATATTTTGGCGTAACCTGATGAACAATTTTGTTCTCTTTCGAATGGTACCATCGTGCAGTCAACGGATATCGCATAACTTCTTGCGAGGATGGCTGTGAAATTTTTAGTGGAATTACAAAACAACCACCTAATCTGTCACCAGTTTATTGTTGTCAATTTAACACATACAGTGAATGTTTGTTTGAGTATTATTTATTGTTAAAGAATAGAAAACGTTAACATTTATTCAAATGCTGACATTCTAAATTTATTATTTATTCATGGAGAGTGTCAGAAGATAATAAATAGGACTTGCAGGGTATTTGATGATATCTTCAAAGTTACCGAATCTTATACAGGAGGGTGATAATTCAGTACCGAGTTTGGTCCACTGGAAACCATCTAAACTTGATTTTTTGTAACGGGACACCCCGTATATTTTTTCAAATTTGGATGTTGCCATTTTATTCTCTTTCCATTCATACTATGGTTCCCTATACTTATCTCTTCTACTTTTTATATTATTTGAAGTTATGTCGGTATTCTACCGAATTAGATTAATATTATTATTACGTATTCGTAAGTAACTACGAGGGTGGCTGTGAAAATTTAGGCGCAATTTCAAGACAAACAGCAAAGTTGTCAATCATTATTCGTCATCAAGAAATTGTTGTTGTAATAGTTTAAAACAAAATGGATAGAAATAATTACACACATGAAGTTATTATGAATTTATTTGTTATTTATAAAATTTTATCTTAAACTAAAGACATGTACCTATCAGAATCTACTGGAAATGAATATTTACCCGATGATTGTGGATGTATTGGAAAATGACAACACTTTGCCAGAAGAGGACGCGTGTTCTTCAGCAGAATGGTGCTCCACCACATTATGCCATAGCTGTACGTGATTTTCTTAATCAGGACTTTCCAAATCACTAGAGAGGATGCAGAAGTTCATTTGAGTGGCCTCCCAGATAACCAGATCTAATGCCCTTAGGCACTTAAAATGTCGAAAATTTATGTAACACGACCGAACTCAATTGAGCAGCTTCGTCGGCGAATTATTGAAGAATGTCGTCAGATAGCGCCCGAAATGCTTCGAAATGTTCATTCGAAAATGGAGCAAAAATTTTGTTACTGTACGGAAGCGGAGGGAATCCAACATTTAATAAAATAACATTGTTTTGTTCATTGATATTTTGTCTTATTTTTTAAGTGATAATTTTATTGTCCAAAATAGGGTACCATTTAAAGTTTAAGGGTATTTTACGCCCCTGCCTAGCTTCCAAGATACCAAAACTTACGCCCCCTTGAAAAGAAAATCGGCGTCTCAGGTTTTTATTTTTTTGTTTAAATTTTAATTGGCACGCCCTGTATTGTTATGGGTATTTAATTTTTCCAAATTATAATTTCTCTTTTCTCTATGGAATCCTGCTTTTACATTAATTGTTCGTTATTAAAACGTAAAAGCTGAAAGTGATTTTTTAAAATCTACATACATTACGTAAAATTTATTTTTAGTGTACCTGTAAAATTATGGTAAAATGTAGGCAATTAAAAATAAAAATCTCCATTCAAGAAATTACTTTATTTTTATCGAATTTGTGGTGCTTTATGGACGCACTGTATATAAATACATATATAAATTTGTGCTTTTACCTCAGTCGTATCCTTTGTACTGCTAGAGTGAGTATAACACCAAGACTATTTTGTACTTTTGTAAGTTATTTATTAACAACGCGTAAAGCCGCCGTCTCGACTCTTGAGTGGTATGATAAATGGCTTCTAAAATTCCATTTCGATTCTCATATTGTATTCAAAAGCTATAAATAGACACCATTCATTTTATAATACAATTTAATACTCGTAATTTATTTCATATGATATATTTTTTTCGTTTGTGTTTTATAATATATATTTTTTACTTTGAAAAAATTTAATTCACGAATTAATATGTACATACCGGTGTTGCAAAATATTGTTCAGATAATTCTAGAGCAGATTCTACATACAAAAATACGAAAAAGATCCTATAAGCGTAGGTCCGCAGATGCTTCGTTTTCGAAAAAGAGGGTGTAAAAATATGTTTTTTTCTTGATAATTTATTCATTGGAAATCATTTCAATTTGGGTCAATGCATTTATGATACGTAGGTTATAATTTGATGTGTCTGAAATGCAATAGACATTTCAGACACATCAGGGACGAAGATATTGGGTCGTACCTACCTATTGATTTTTGGCTGTATTGATCGCTTTTTAAAATCATATTATTTATGAAATCTTTGGTATACTTATAACAAATTGATACAAATTAGATGTGGTGTTAACATTTACACATGTGCATAATTTACTACATAATTTACAAATTTTTGTAGGTCAGTGGCGTAGGAATGGGTAGTAAAGCGGAATTTTTTTACCCCAACTTTTACGCCAATAACCTAATATCATTTGGGATTAATTTTTAGATTCTGTGAAGAATTCTACATAAAAAAGGTACACTTGTTGAAAATCGGTATAGTGTATCATTTTACCAAAAATCTCAGTTGAATGAGTTCTTTTGATAAGAAACACTGGAATATTCATCAATTTTTTTACAAACACTAACTAATAATTCAAATCTTAAAAATAAAATGACAGTTCCTGATGACAGATAAGTCTATTATTGCTTAGTTGTTTATTCATGGCAATCGTTGTGTACGGATACATATATGAGTAAATAAATAAGAGGATTTTATTGGATATAGCGGACGGAGCATGCATTCACTGAGGCCATCTCGCGTTGGTGCAACAAAACATTGTACTTTATAGAAATTGTTAAACAGAAATCTGTAACCACAGATCGAATCTGTAGGCCTTTTTTCGCTAGTGAATATTGGTGAATATCTGACTTGTAGTTACTATTTCTATCTCTTTTGATCTTAGTTGTCTTATGGTAGTTCAAATCTCTTCATTCACTCACACTCTATACTACATTTACTACAACATACCACTACACTCGCGAAAAAAAGCCTTGTTTGTATTTCCAATTTTCCAATCAACAGAAAATTCAGAAATAGAATGTTTGTGGTTATAGTTTATGTTCAGGTAGGTTGACGCGTTTCGTGCATTAATTTTGTTTTGTTTCAGATTAATATAATAAGGGATTTATTGAATCAATCGTCTGAACTGCC